GCCATAGATAGGCCTAAATAAAATGTTTTTAATTGTGTACCAGTTTAACGTTGAATATTATTTATGATTTTAACATCTGATATGTTTTGGGTCATATTGACCCTATGTGATTTCAAACAGATTTGAGTCGATAAGGTACATTGTCTTTAGATAGTTTTGTTAAGTTAGATACTAGAAATTAACGTAAACTCTGATTATATCAAAAGTCTTTACTCTAAAGAAAATATTTAAAAATTAATAATTGAATCAAGTGATTTTTATCAAACTGTTTTCTTATTCTTAATCTTAAGGCTTACAAACAACTAATTTATTTGTTATAAACTCACCACAGTTTTGCATTTTAGTAGTTGCCCCATTAAGTCAGTGGTAAGATGTTTAAATTTAGGGTTTGGTTTTCTACAGTGGACAGAGACAGATGACTTATTGTGTAGCTTTATGCTAAAACAAAAACGTTTTAATAATTCTAATAATTCTTTTTTATTTCGTCTTTTCATGGCCAGTTTGTTTAAAAAATCTACTAATTTCTCTGTAAGCTCAAAAAATAATTTCCATCCATAATTATAAATATATGTCACTCAATTAAGAAGATACTGAACTCGACAGTGAGCTTCGTTATTGGAATCTTCATTTTTAATTCAGATCAATTGAAATTATCAAGTTGAACAAAAAAAAAAGATAAACGTTATAGTTTAAACTTCTAGGATGTGACAGTATATGTCCAACATGAGACTAGGATCAAAATATGCATGTGCTCCTTATCTTTAATTCAAAAAATTGTAGAAAGGAAAATTGGGCATATTTAGTATTGTGGTTCATATAATAAGTAATACCATAAGTGAAGAAACTTTGTCTTTAAAATTTCTATTAATAGCCCCTTTATGTTCAGAACTTAGAGACATCTGATATGTTTTGGGTCATATTGACCCTATGTGATTTCAAACAGAAACTGAACAAACTCTGTTTTCGAGATTGTTAATATCAAATTTGAACAGAAGGTGAACAAACTTTGTATTTAAAATTGGTAATACCAAACATGAACAGAAAATGAAAAGCAAT